ATCACATTTTGTTCAGACTACATCCGGATCGGATTCAGAGCGATGATCAAGCATAGATGAAGTAGATCACTTCCATTAGCATCCCTAAAGCTTGCAAAGTCCTAAACCACTTCCTGGGTCGACATTTCATTCTGTAACATTTGATTTACATGCTGTTTAATGCTTAATTGCGGTATTTTATTACATATGCATCTGTACAAAAACAGGAAAGACGGAAAAAAATCCACTAATGGCAGAGAAAGGGTTAACAAGACAGATAAAAACTTTCTCAAAATTAGCAGGCTAGCTATTACGTTATATAATTGCACCCTTTCACCTCGCCACAGTTTTATTCCTGCTTTTTTGTTAATCCTCCTTTTTTTTAAAGGACTCTTTGACCTGGATGCTCTTTCTCTTGTCTGTCTGCTTGTCTCTTCATCTTATCTAAACTCTTTGAACCCTTATTATATTCTTTGGATTAGTGCAGTCAGCTGTGTTTGGGTGAGAGTGTGAGAAAATCAGGTTCAGTAGCGACGGAGTTCATCTCATCCCACACACACACTATCTCTTTCCAGGTTTTTTCCCTGAACTCTGGCATTCTGCCTATTAACCATCATTTCTGACTGCTCCGTGCCATTCATAACTTGTGAAGTGTCTCTGGGAGCGAGAATGTGCCCAGAGCGATGCTCTTGTGTCTTCCTTTTATTCACATAGTGCAAGAAAATGGGGAGGAAGGTCTGCATCCCACAAGTCATAAAGTTAAGTCACCTATACTCTTAAAAATCTTCATGAAACGGCTAAAAACACATCTCTTTCTTCTTTAATCGACCCTCTAACTCTAGCACTCTCTATTCTAATTCTATTTGATCTATTTTTCTTTTTTATTTAAATTTTTTTTTTGTAGTGATGCCATAGAAGAACCATTTTGGTTCACCAAAGAACCTTTCAGTCAGTTGAAAGAACCATTATTTTCTTAGTGTTAAGATCATTTGAATAATTTAAAGATGAATAATCTGAACCAAAGGTTGCATAGATGTTAAAGGTTACAGTGACCCAGTAGTGCACAAGCCGCAATACAACAAAATTAACACAACACATCTGAAACAATTCACAACACAGTGAAATTAGCACAACACAACAAAATTACACTACTGGGCCACCGTAAATCTTCATGAAACCATTTTTTTTTTTTGAAGAGTGAACAGTCGTGCAGAGGTACACAGGTGTGTAAAGCAATAAAGGTTCTTTATTGGCATCCAAGGTTCCATGAAGAACCTTTAAAATCCATGGAATTTTTCTATTCCACAAAACATTCTTTATACTGGTAAAAAGGTTCTATAGATTGTTAAAATGTTCATACTAAGAAAAAATGGGGAGAAAAGTCCATAGGGTTTGATATGCCAACAGCTTCAGAATATCATCCACATTGTGATACATCTGTTAAAATTCATGCACAGTGCATCACTGTATCATAACTGGATTGTGGCTGAAGCTCTGTCTGTTGTGCAAGAAACATCCAGGATGTCTGAACTGCAGGATCAATTTCAGCATCAGATCGCGTCATGGTCTGAATGCCTTTCTGCACTCCGTACAACCCTCAGATTCAGTGCTGTGAACTCTGACTTCTGTGCTGAGAAGCTTTGAAGTGAGGGCTACTTTAACGTGTAAAGAAAGCACATGTTCCTATTCAGGACATTAATATATGAGTTGTGAAGTTGTTTCTAGGAGAGAAACAACATGCGATGTGCAAAAGGGAGTGAAACTGTGACACCCGTTAGGACATTAATTATCACACACTGCACAGCACACATATCCCAGAGAAACGTTTACACTGACAGTGATTAAAATGATGCAGGTCACAAAGTCGCTGTACTGTTGGTTTTTCTAGTAGGATTTCTGACACTACTGCTGTATCCAACTGTATGAGGGTCATGTGAGTTCCTCTGTCCGCACAACAATTTATAGTCAGAAATGGTCATCAGTAGTAACTTATGGTTCCTATTAATTCTATTTCAAACGTTGGCACTGTCTAGCCATAGAATACAACACATTTTCGGTCTGAAACATCAGCGTGGTTGAGGTGGCTTCCGCACTGCTTGTTGAGCCTTTCTGTCTTTCATTTACATGGTAAATGTTGAAAACAGGTTTTGTGCAATTTTGTCAGCACTTCTCTATGGCATGTCAGCAGCACTGGTGTGGCGTGTGAGTACGGTGGCCGTGTGGTCAGAACCACTTCCAGTTGTGGTCGTGGGAGGATGCAGTTTTCTCGTAAACCCACTGTAGACACTCTCTAAACAAATATGTACACGCTTAACTGTGTGTCCGGTGGTTAAACATCTTTATCTGTCTCTGTAGATTAAGAATATTCCGATATTTTGGAATTCAGTACTATTTTGTTTATGCATGTTTTTATGTAAAACCAATTGCCATCCCCTAATTTGTCAGTAATAGATTTGAACTTGTTTCTAAATACACTGCAAAATTAGTTGTTTTTAGTTAGTATTTTTGGCTTTTTTTCAGTACACTCTAAAAAATGCTGGGTTAAATACAACCCAGTGCTGGGTAAAATAGGGACAAACCCAGCAATTAGGTTGTTTTGACCCAATGGTTGGGTTACTACCCAGAAGGTTGGGTTAACCAGTTAAGCTATGCGGACCCGGATACGGGTCCAAAGTCACGTTAAAAATGTGTATGCTTCATTTGCATAGCCTTCCTTATATGGTATCAGCCCATATATGGGTTCATTTGAAAGCTTGGAGTGTCTTCTTTACAAAGAATACCATTTCTTTTGGGACCTGAATGAAGGATATGCCTGAAAGGGAAGTTTGAGGTTTTTCGCACTGCTCTGTTATTTCAAGCATACAGAGCAGGTTGTTGATGGAGGTCTGTTTTTGTGTGTTTGTGTGCATGTGGTGGCGTGTTTGTGGTCGCGACTCACCTCTCTGGCTAACCGCCTAACAACCGTGATCTCTCTAGTGGCCTAAAGCGTCTGATATATAAAATCCCTCGTATGTCAATTGTTCACGGCAATGAGATTAAATGGAGACATTTTCATAAATCTCCTGCTTTGATTTTTCTCCTGAGGACTCTCACGTGTCTTCTCTAGCATTTCCAAAGAAAACTCAACCATGCCAAGACACTGAAGTCTGTGATCAAAGCCGGAGATTTAAATATGTCAAATTCCAGTCAAATTCTTTGGTAAATCAAATGATCTGACTTATGCGTCCACATTCATTTAACTTTCTTGTACTCCTGTTGTATGTCAACAATTGTCTATTTCTTGTTTCTTTTATGAATATTCTTTTTTTTTTTGTCTAATAGAAAGATCAAAAGAACACAGACTGGAAAAAGAGCAATGATGAGACCAGGCTGGAGGCAAAGAAGCATTAGATTAGAAAAAGGCAGACTTTGAGAAGAAGAGAGTCAAATAGTAACTTAAATGAAAGCATTGATGCGGCATTCTGTGGTATACTGTATCTAACTCCCAATCCTGGACTCTCTCCAGCTCTCTCTCTTCGATTACAAGTTCTCAATGACAGCTTTCACCTCATTCTCATTTGTCTTCCCACACAAACACGCACACACAGACCAGGACGTCCCACAGAACAAAGATTAAAAGCGGGCTAAGAGACGTATCCGTCACAGACCGCATGTGATTGCCTTTTTGTGGAGGCATAACCTCTGTAGTTATATTTCCCATCAAATCAGAATTCATTCTTGTGTTAAATTTGAGCTTTTAGCTTGTAGATCAGATGTGAGTAGGAGAAATCTGATTCTTGATCAGTGGCGCCAGAGGATTCTCCGATTTCAGTGTCAAAAGCAGGATGAGCTCTTCGCTGTTCCTGCCAAAGCGGGTGGTTTCCCACTGAAGAATCTCTCTGGTTCTTTCTGTTGGTCAGTTACTATCACCAAGACAATCAACTGACAGTCCGTTTACAGCAGATTACAGATTCGTAATGAATCAGGGTCTTGATTTCACTTTCATTCCAAATACAGCAAGAATAGCAACTCAGATAACCTCATGTTGTAGAGCTACGGTGAACTTTAACTCTGCAAGCGGTTGCGTTGTGGATTATTCAAGGCCTTTCTGACCACATGAACTTCTCCCACACAGCTTCCACATCCTGAATGTCTCCAGCACTGTTATGTGGTTTCCTGAATGGTCAATTGTCCACTTAGATCCAACTGTCATAAAATGCTTCTACAAAAATGAATCTCTCTAGTACGGAAAAAGAGGGCCCAATGACCATAACCTCTGTACAGTCTCTATCTTAAATGTATATTTCAGTCTAAAATGTTGTAATTTACTTACCCTCACGTAATTTCATTCCCATATTGCCTTTGTCTTCTTTGGAACGCAAAAAGAGAAATAATGAAGAATGCTAAAGCTGAAAACCTATTACATTTGGTGTTACTGACGTCAAACCTACCATTGCATGTTTGCAAGTTTGGCATGTTCCTCACACAAAGCGATTGTATGGTTTCAGAAGACACTTTTTGTTTTCCAAGGAAGAAAGAACGTAATACTGGCTTGGAAGGACATGAGTGTGATTTATAATACCAGAATTTTTATTTCTGGAACAACTGCTTTTTTCAAAGGTGCAGCGTGTACTTCTTCAGTTCCACTCTTTTACTTGGGTGGCAGATAATGAGGTAAGTGAGATGTTTGCTGACGTCTCTCCAAGGGTATCAGAAGGGATAGGGATGCCTCAGGGTCACTAGAACACATTAAGGGGCCGTTCACATAGAACGCATCTTTACATCTAAAAACGCGAGATGCTGCGCTCAAGAATGGTTTTTAAAAAAGTGCAGCACAGAATGCCGCCTCCTCCATGTTGCCGTCAAATAAACCAGTTGCCATGCCAGTTTGCTACTGTAAACAAAAGCTCACAACACTTGCCCCGCCTCCGGGGTCTTCTGATTGATCCACCGTTTTGGAACTGACATTGATGTGCGGTGCTGTGTGTAAAAATTGAAATTCTTTTAACTTGACACGGCGTCTTAAAAATGTGGTGCAATAGACTCAAGCCCAACGGTCATACAAGTCCATCTAGCATGCGTTTACTTAAAAAAAAAATTTAAGAACATTATTTTATTTGTCTAATAGAAGGATGAAAAGAACACAGACTGGGAAAAGAGCAATGATGAGACAAGGTTAGAGGCAAAGAAGCATGCGATCAGAAAAAGGGAGACTTTGAGAAGAAGAGAGTCAAATTGTGACTTAAATGAAAGCATTGATGTGGCATTCAGGCAGAACTGGAGTATACTGTATCTGACTCCCAATCCTGGACTCTCTCCAGCTCTCTCTCTTTGATTACGAGTTCTCAATGACAGCTTTCAACTCATTCTCATTTGTTTTCCCACACAAACACACACACAGACCAGGACATCCCACAGAACAAAGATTAAAAGAGGACTAAGAGACATATCCGTCACAGACCGCATGTGATTGTCTTTTTGTGGAGGCATAACCTCTGTAGTTATATTTCCCATCAAATCAGAATTCATTCTTGTGTTAAATTTGAGCTTTTAGCTTGTAGATCAGATGTGAGTCGGAGAAATCTGATTCTTGATCAGTGGCTCCGGAGGATTCTCTGATTTCAGTGTTTACAGCAGATTAGAGATTCATAATGAATTAGGGTCTTGATTTCACTTTCATTCCAAATACAGCAAGAATAGCAACTCCGATAACCTCATGTTGTAGAGCTATGCTGAACTTTAACTCTGCAAGCGATCGGTATTGTGGATTATTCAAGGCCTTTAGTAGTTGAGCAGTCCCCTTTTTGACCACATGAACTTCTCCCACACAGCTTCCACATCCTGAATGTCTCCAGCACTGTTATGTGGTTTCCTGAATGGTCAATTGTCCACTTAGATCCAACTGTCTTAAAATGCTTGTACAAAATTCTACAAATGGTAAAGGGAAGCCAATGACTATAACCTCTCCATAGTCTCTCTATCTTCTTCTTAAATGTATATTTCAGTGCAAAATTCTGTCATTTACGCGCCATCATGTCATTTCATACCCATATTGCCTTTCTGTCTTCTATGGAACACAAAAAGAGAAATAGTGAAGAATGTTAAAGCTGAGAAACTATTGCATTTGGTGTCGCTGATGTCACACCTACCATTGCATGTTTTGAATTTCGCCATGTTACTCCAACAAAGCGATGCATGGTTTCAGAAGACACTTCCCCTTTTGTTTTCCAAGAAAGTCATACTGGCTTGGAAGGACATGAGTGTGATTTATAATACCAGAATTTTTATTTCTGGAACAACTGCTTTTTTCAAAGGTGCAGCGTGTACTTCTTCAGTTCCACTCTTTTACTTGGGTGGCAGATAATGAGGTAAGTGAGATGTTTGCTGACGTCTCTCCAAGGGTATCAGAAGGGATAGGGATGCCTCAGGGTCACTAGAACACATTAAGGGGCCGTTCACATAGAACGCATCTTTACATCTAAAAACGCGAGATGCTGCGCTCAAGAATGGTTTTTAAAAAAGTGCAGCACAGAATGCCGCCTCCTCCATGTTGCCGTCAAATAAACCAGTTGCCATGCCAGTTTGCTACTGTAAACAAAAGCTCACAACACTTGCCCCGCCTCCGGGGTCTTCTGATTGATCCACCGTTTTGGAACTGACATTGATGTGCGGTGCTGTGTGTAAAAATTGAAATTCTTTTAACTTGACACGGCGTCTTAAAAATGTGGTGCAATAGACTCAAGCCCAACGGTCATACAAGTCCATCTAGCAATGCGTTTACTAAAAAAAAAAATTATAATAATTTGTAAAAGTAGCGCATTGGATTGAAAAAACACATTCTGGGTGAACGGCCTCTAAGATGTCATACATGTAGGTTGAGTCTAATGAAGAAATAAAGACAGACAAAGAAAAAAGAATAAGGTAGAGAACAACTTGAGAGATGGCATAAAGAGGCTATTCGAATGGTGAAATACAAACCAAGCACAGAGATTTTTGAGTTAAGATTAATCTTTTTCAGTAACACTTGCACAGATCCCAAAGGGAAAGGTGCTAAACTCATATATATGAGCAATGGTGTTTCTGGATATCATAACATACATGTTTCTCAGACTATTCCAGAGTACTGTAATTGTTAAAATGGCAACTGAGAAAATAAGAGTGCTTTTTTTGGCCTCCGTCCCAGCATGCGCTAATACACACAGAGCTGGTTTAACCCTGATCTTCTGCTTGATTTCTGCGTTCATGGTGATTCTGCTTCAAAAATATTTTTCTAGAGGAAGGCCAGACCATCACAAAACATCCATGTTTAATACCCTCTTCATCCTCTACTAGTCTTTGTCTGTGATCTGCTTCTATAAAACTGTTTGTTTTAAGATGTTTGTCTGAGAAGTCACACTACACAGATTTTTATGCCTTTCCTCAAGTCTTGAATCATTAAACATCTACGCTGTCCTCCACGGAAGACTGATTCGCTCTATGTTAAGAGTAAACTTGAATTTGGCTGGTTTGAGTTGGAAAGACTTGTGAGCTTTGGCTGTGAGTGCTCAGATGAGGAAGACGAGAAACCCATCAGTGCGATGACGGGCCACCTAGCACGAAGTTTCACCCCGTAAAAAGATCTGTCATTATAGCAGAGGATTTGCCCCAGGAGGTCTTCGCTTTCACTGCCACTCTGGTGCTGCGGAGACAGAAGCACTGCACTGTACACACACACAGAGGGGAAATTGGCCCCTGAAATGTGATACGCACTGAGGTAAGGGCCGTCTTTCTGCACACCCCTGCAATGAAACAAATATATGTCTATAAAATCAAAAACCTTCACACATGAAAACACTTCAAAAAAGTCCCACCTTCCCCATCAAACCGTCCATGTCTTGTTGATCTTTTAGGCTTCAGGCAAAGAAATTTCACAAAACCACTCAAATAATCAACCCTTGTCACACACAAACACAGATTACTAAAAGAAACGTCCTAAGACATTACTTTCAACCGTTCAAAAAAAATAGTCTCTCGCACACACTAACCCTTTCAACTGAATGTTAAAGCCTTATAAATACTTGCGAGTCTGTTAAAGAGCTTTGGCAATCACAGATGTTCTCTACAGTTTGACCATGTCATTGTATAATTTTTACAAAAGTATGTTTTTTTACAAGAAGAATAATGATCTTTTCCTTGCCAAGTCTTTAAGTATGTTAAAGAACACCTCTCCCTTAGTGCCAGAATGAAAACAAAAATCCTAAACTTGGAAAATAAGGAAAGAAAACATTTTTCAAGTTTAAGTCCACCGATGTTAATCTACTCTCCTGTCTGGTTTGCTTGTTAAACAAAATGGCAGATTTGGCATTATGTTTGATCAGATTGCCTGTTAATTAAACTCTGAATGGGGAATTAGTGTGCCATGTCTTCTAAATCCATAAGACATGAAGTTGTGTAAAGGCCCGTTCACACCAAGCATGATAACTATAAAGATGACAATATTAGCATCCACACCAGCGAATGATATCGTCTGTTTATTCTAAGTGCACGCCGTCTGCTGCTTTAAATTCTCGAGCTCGTTATAGCAGGATGGTTTCTGATTGGGTGTCAATGTTCTTATCGTTCATCAGCTGAAATTTATTTTTTCGTTTCGATAAAAACCTTTATCGTTATAGCTGTGGTGTGAACTCTGCTATTCTTTAATATTGAGATTGATTTTTAAAACTATATCTTTATCATTATCTTTATAGTTATCGTCCTTTGTGTGAACGGGCCTGAATTCCAGATTTTATGACACCGCTTGTAAGTCTTGTAAGTGATCTTGGCTTGGTCCTTTTTGGAGCTTGACAGCCCCTCAACTATATACTTTCATAATTTCATGTGTAAAAGAGCACTGTGAACATTCTCCAAAACATTTCAAAACATAATTCATAATTTCATGTGTAAAAGAGCACTGTGAACATTCTCCAAAACATTTCCTTCTTTGTCATTCACATTTGGAATGACATGGGGATGAGTACACGATGACAGAAATGTCATGTTTGGTTGAATTTTTCCTTTGATGTGTAAAATGACAAAGACTGGAAAAATGCTGGTATAATGGTGTGACCATGACACATGATGGAGTAACCAGACATGCCGTTTTCCACAGGATAAATTGTCATTGTGGCCAGGATGACATTTGTTTTCTTTTTAATCTTATGAGTAATACTGCTGAAGTTTACTTGAAGCTTATAACTTGTTTAATATCTGCCTGTCCATCATTCATAGTCTCAAGACTCGGTTACACTTTATGTACTTTATGTATTTTAGCTATGACCCAAACCAGTGAGGTTACTAGCTTTACCTTCCAGAAGACAACAGGGTATGTTTGTCTGCCAGAACTAACAAGACTCGTAAATCGTGGCTTGAATGTGGTTTTATCCACGGTCCACCCATACAGCCTTGATCTGCACCAAAAGGCACTTTGTAATGTATTCTGGTTAGTTGAATTCTGGTGCTGCATTTTTGGCACCGAAAAACCATGAACCTTATCTTCAAGACTTTTTTTCTTATCTCTCAATTCAAATGCACGTGAACTGGAGAGAAAGTTTATTTAAGCTTGTCTGAACAGCACAACAGCTGTAATTGGAGGCATCTGCTTTCAATGGAGATTTTCAAATGAGTTTTGAGTTCAGGTTTGTGCTTGATTTGTTTGCTGGTAATGGTGTGTTTTCTTGTGCATGTACAAAGAATGACCCTATCTTTTCAAAGTGGGTTTACCATGGCCTTCTGCCTGCCTGGGAAATGTCAATTACTGGTAAAAGCATTTAATATAAGAGCATGTAGTCTATACCCAGACACTCTTTCATGCACCAAACCACCCAACTCAGACTGTTAAACATCTAGTGTCTTCCAGGGTAGTTCTTTGGAAATGCCTAGATTGAGGTACTTGCATAATTTCCCAAAAACCTTATGAGTTCCCATAAAATACATCACGGTGTTCATGAAGACATGCCAGTAGACACGTAGTCCCATCCCACACAGAATGAGAGAAACATATGCACACTTTAAGACTCGCATGGAGCTTTTTTCATTAGC